TCAGCAACCACTCTGATTCACCTGCCTGTGAAGCAGCCCTGCCCGGTTTTCAAACAGTGCGCAAGAGCAGCTCTTGCCCCAGCGTGGAAGGAGTTAAGGAGCTGTATTCCTGATGCCTGCAGCTGTTCCTGCGGCTGACAGGGTACGGGCCTGCTCCCGGAGAGCCCCCGAGAACAGGGCCCGGCTCGGCTCCTGTACTGGGGAAGAAGAGTCCTTCATGCAATTCGTCCACTGCCCTGGGGAAACACTGTGGAAGAAACCAACGGGGCGAAAAGGCAGGAAGGCAGCGGAGCCGGGCCGCGCCTCCGCCCGTAGTAAACAAGCGCACATGGGGCCGGCCCCCCCGCAGCCCGACGGCCGGGCTGGGCTGAACTGGGCTATTTTTACAGCCGTCTGACAGCCCCGGCTTCCTCTGGCAGATCCGCCGCTAATGCTATTAGCCGGCAGAGGAGAAGAGAAATGAAGCTGCTAAAATAACTGTGCAAGGCAGAAATAGATGGAAAAGGCATTTTAGGTCATGCAAGCCGTGCCCTGGCCAGCAAAGGTTGCTCCCCGCAGAATAAAGCTGAGCGCTGTGAGATCGGCTTTGTATTGATGCCCTGTGCTCCCTGCGGGAGGACGGTCCTTTTTCAGCCCAAGTTCTGGCTCTGCTTTTTGGCCGCGAGGAACCTTGACCCAAAGTCATTGTGGTATAAACTGGCACAGCTTCACTGTACCGTAGTAACTGCTTACCCGGGGCAAAATGTAGTCCCTTCTCCTTTTCTGACTGCTTTTATGACATGAAATCTTAACGCTCCATTATAGAGAGATGTTCTACAAGGGCACTAGCACAAAATGTAATAAAGCAGGCTTATTGTTTCCCAGACAAGTTATTCTTTTTCTCTCTGTTTAAAGCACTGTCTTCAATGTGTTCGCTTTGGCGAGGTTCAACTGTGAAAGTCACACTTGAGTCTGGATGCCCTCTTGTGATATTGGGTTTCAGGCCATTCATGTCTCAGAGCTTCCCAAATGCTGGCATAGCCACCGAGTGACCCTCTCATTCCTGAGATGCTTACATAGTCAAGTATTCCCAGGGTGACCTTCAGCATGTATCCTGCTCTGCTTCCCATTTATTTTCTTATGTCTTCATCTGGGAGGTCAGGGATGAGAACGGAGCCGGCCAGCTTGGCTTCACCACAGAGCAGCATAGCTGGGATGCCCTGAACTGGCCAGAGAGTTGGAAGGAGAGGTGGAAAATAACAGCTGAAATCCTAGGGTTGCTGAGAGTCCCTGCACCTCAGCTGAGGCAAAACCGTAACTGTAGCTACACCTGTATTACCAGATCTGAGGGCATTTCCACATTTCTGATCCAGGGTGTTTGCTCTTGTCGTGTCTTAACTCCTAGTTGCATCTAAGCAAGTAGGCACACCAGCCCTCTGCAGCCTGCTTCTGTGTGTCACAGAAATGAAGCCTTGTTGTTGAGGGCTGGCTGGTAATGATGGGACAGTCCTGGTAGCACTCATCTACCAGAAAGTCTTGGTATGAGTTTTTTATTTTGTCCCTTCTGTGGAAAGGTGAACAGATTAGCTTAGAATTGGCTGTTTAAGGCTGTTTGACTTCAGTGAGAAACAGAGGAAGAATGCATGCAAACTCAAGAGAAGGTAGGAGATATTTTTAAGAAGCTGTGCTTCTTAGCTTTTAGCTTTTAGTTAATGGTTTCTGCCTCCCAGCTGAAACAGTGCTTGACTATGTCCAAATTTTGATATGGTAAGACTGGGTCAAACAAAGTGTGCAAAACTTTATTTACACAAGGGTTTAAATCCTGTATCTTCAGCAGAGGAGGCAATTTCAAGTAGATTATAAGAAGCACACCTGCCATTTGAGGTACAGTGAATACACTTTGCTGCTAGCACATTAAGGTTATAGTAGCTATGCAGACAGAATTTATTCTAAGAGTGCAACAACAAACATAGGTATATGCTAGAGTATTTTACTCATGGGATAAGTTTTGCAGCTGTGAAATAAAAAAAAAAATAATAATAATTTTTTAATCTAATCATGTTTGTAAATGAGATAACCCTGTTGGGAATATTTTACCATGGAGTTGAAATATGAATTAAACGATTAGCAGTGTCAAACAGAGTACATTTGAATGATGCTTCATAGTATGAGATCTATGAAGTACGTAGAAAATGTGGGAAGGAGACAAGAACATTTCCAATGGGTGAAGATGAGAAACAGGGGATAGCACAGGGGCTCCAATGTCAAAGAGAAGGTTTTGATGAAGCAATTATGGACAGTACCAAGATGTTTGAATGAAGGAGAACTAAAAAGCAGGTAGAAGGCAGGGTGGCCTGAACCCTGTTTGGACATGAAAAGCAGAAAATTGAGGCAAGAGCTGTAAACAGCAAGAACTCTGAATGTCAGAACATGCAGAACATCAGGAGATTTAGAAAAGGATCTGGACTTCAGCTAAAGAGGAGAGAAACACTGAGATAATGTCTATGCTGAACTTATCAATGAGAAGTTACCAAGGTCCAAACGGAGAGAGAGAGCAAAGATTGAGGAGGCTGAAGGCAAAGAAGTGTATGGAGACTGGAACAAGGCAATGGATATTTGTTGCTGCTGCTGTAGGTGAAATGATGAAATTTTATTAGTACAGCAGAGGAGAAGGTGCAAAGGCAGTTCTAGTGGAGGAAACCATTGCTGAACTCCAGTATTCTTCTAGTGGCTCAGCATGTGGCAGAGGAGAAAATGCATATTGCTGATATTTCCTATAAGTCTTGTTCAAGATATCAATTTAACTGAAATGAAAGAATCAGACAAATATATGTATTTCTGTCTTTTACAGCCATTTTATCTATTAAAAGAGGGACTTTTGCCCTTTAACAGCATTCTAAATAGCTACTATGTCATGGCTCTTGCAGGCATCTGCTCAAACTGTATCCAGTTAAAAAACTAAATCTAGGAACAAACTGATCCCAGTTTCAGCTGGCTGACAGGTATGAATTCTACTTTAAGAAATGCCTAATTGCCCTCCTCAGTTCTGTTTATGGCCATCAAGTCAGGAAAACTATCATGTAACTTTCAAGCCATATTATAGCCTTTATATTTATCTAACCTTGTTATCTGCAAATACAATTAGAACAACAATGTCGAGCAGCAAAGAGAACAAGAAAAAGCAGCTCAGAAACCTAAAGTATGTAAAAAATATAGTAACAGACCTCATTACCAAATACTACCAGGAGTTATGAGGAGTTAAGTGTCTTGCTTTTCATTGGTTTGGCGGATAAACTGTGTTGTTTCTGATATATTATTTTCAGTAAGCACAAAACAAATATAAAGTCGCCGCTCGCAGTGTTGCTTCCCACCTCATCAGATCTTGAAGAAGCCTTCCAAGCTTCTGTCACTTATAAGCCATTCAGCACAAACACTGTTAGCATCAGTACAGGACAGCAGAATATGTGAAGGTCCAATAACAGCATTATGGTAGCATTTTTGGTATTGGGCAGTCCACTCAGAAATATGTTGCAGGTCATTTTAATCTTTCAACCTCCCAGCACTTTTGCAGGGGCAAACACCACAGGATGAGCAGCAGTATGCTGAGGAGTGCTGAGATTTACTTCCATGAGCTTCATGCATTCCTGCTGAGGAACGAGGCCAGAACCCACCCCGAGGTTGCTGCAGGGGCCTGGGCAGAGTGAGTGCTTCTGGCTCCTGCTGCAATATACAACCTTATACAGCAGCAAGCCTGGCATTCAGCGACTAAGCATCTCTAAACACTGTGCTTTTTTAAAAAGGTTAGCCAGGAAAAATAGTCTTGCTTGGAAAAGAGAGGCATTTGAAATAGAGGCCCAGTACCAAAGTTTTAGGTAATGACTCACAATGTCAGGCCAGATACATTTATTGTAACTGTCAAATAATTTCCAGTTCTGTATCTACTCTCCATTTGCCCAAGGGGTTGTGCGTGCTGCCAGACTCACTGGGGCAGAGGACCAGGGAAGAAATGGAGTGTTGCTGGAAGGAGAGCAGAGACCCTCCTGTGGGTGCTGCAGACACCATGGCACCCATCACTCTGCACCCCTTTCACTAGTTGGGCCACAAGTGCACCAGAATTTGTATTTCCTTTTGGAAAGCACAAGGCAAAACTTAAAAAATTAGGTAGGAATGTTTCTTCCTTAACTGTCCTTCTGTTTTTAATGTTCTCAGTGCATAGGTGACTAAATGAATATATAAAATAATGGATGTGTTTGTATTTTTTGTGCTGTTAAACATGATACAAATGGATAGTTGATGTAACAATATTCAAACATAGCATTGTTTTATCTGCTGTTGGCTTTCCTTCTGTTTTTTACATGCTTTCCTAGTAATTTCTACTCATAGCAATATGATTAAGCACCCGTTTCCCTTTGAAAAAGGAATGAGTGAGCCTGGTTTCCTGTTAACAACTACATAATTATAAATGCTTTATTAGCGCATTCCTAGAGTTGTACACATAATTTGTTTCCTCCATCCATCAGTGCCAAGTAAGCATAGTATTGATTAGTCTTTCGATATCAGAATTAAAGAATTCTGTTTAGCTGCACTTTATTTGATAGGTTGTAACTTAATGTTTCTGATAAGCTGTGGATTGGAAGTCATATAATATAAGAATGAAGAAGGCAGAAGAACAATTATTTTAGACACTTCTTTGCAGGACTGAACAGCTGAGGACACCATTAAATCTAACATAGTTTTGCATGAAAAAGGACTACATTAGGATCAGATGCTACCAAGCCTCCATGAGGGACATGACTATGAATACACATACTCAGATCCAGGACATACAAATGCTGCTGTGAGGAATTCTTTGTCACTTGAACTGCTGCATGCTGTGGATCCCATATTGGGGCAAGAAATGTGTCTATTTATATACTAATTAGATAACGGACCACTGGTAAGCGAAGCATAGTAACTCCTGTATTTAGCAAACCATTTTTCATGAAACCTGTCCCACTCCTGGCCTACTCTGGCCACCTCCCTCCCTGTGGATGGTGGCAAGGAGACTGAGCACAGCACTGCTGAGCCCCAGCCCCTTGCAGTGTCAGATGGGGCTGGAATGCTGCAGGCATTTAGGTCAGGAGTGAGCTGGAAGGGAAAGAGGAAGGATCATCTGCTTTGTGTGATAGGCCATCCCCAGGGCTCATCAGTGCCCCAGGAGCAAGAGAGCCTTCTGAGATCTTAGAGATTTCCTGGGTCGCTCGCTCCATCCTTGGCACAGTAGTGGGTGCCACTACTGTAGTGGGAGCCACCAGCAGTGCAATATTGGCATGCCTTGCCCTCACCATGGCATGAAGAATGGCAGTTCTAGAGGGCTGTGTCCTCTATTCCTCCTCCATGTGTAGCAGTCATGAAACTCCCACCCAGGCTTTCATTCACATGCTTATGGTGAAGTCAATCATGAAGATGGAGCTGGCTTCCAGTGTCCACGCTGTGCTCAGAGGAGGCTGCTCACACACAGGAAGCTCCCAGCTGGGACCAGTGCACATTTCTGTGCTGATTTTCATCAAGAGGTAGGTGCCGAAAATAACTTTCTAGCTGGGTGCCCATGAGGACAAGGTAGGAAGCCAGTCCATAAATCAAGTTAATACTTTCACCCTCTTTGCAGATTTATCTCATTTTAAGATATCCTGTACTGCAGAGACTACCTTAAATTGATCAGTGGGAACATCACATTCCTCTGGGACAGGAGCAAGTGTCTCATTGTTCCTTCACTACCGGTCTGCATCACTTTGTGAAAATGCAGTCTTGACTCTCAGCTTCCTGAAACTATCATGTACTGTTTATCACGTGCTCAAAGTAAAGCTGTGCACCTGCAAATTGACCTGAAAAGGAACAGAATTTTCTTTGCTAAGGGAAAACACAAGGAAGCCCATGTAACACTCACGTTAACCTGAGAGAAAGAGATCTGGTTAAACTGCAGACAACAGCCATCTTCTTTTTACTGAACATATTTTGTGCCTGAAAACAGACCTATTTCTCAGGACTCTGTAAGTACCAAGTAACTCTTTAAATAGCTACTGATCTTCATATCATGAGTTTCCCGTTCTGAAATCTGAAATGCCCTTTAATTATCCAGCTGTAGGAACATATAGGATGGCACTAAATTTTGTTTAAGTACCGACCATTGCCAAAAAGGAAGTCAAAATACATAATTAGGTTGGCATTAGCATTCTATAGCTGTGCAGTATCAAACCTCAGAGTGGCTGGGACATTCTGTGAAGGGCAAAGCTGTCTGGGTAATGTAGCAGAAACACTTATCTAATAGCGTGCCCTCCTGTGCCCTCTGTCAGGGCGCCAGCACATTAGTCCTATTATCAGCCAGCAAATACTGTCGGCTTCCACATTGTGGCTGCTGCCAAAAGAAACAGTCTTCCCTGTTACAGGAGCAAATGTCTGCGCACATAAATGAAACTGAAGAATAATTAGATTGCAGTGTTTCCACTGCTTGCTAATTTACATTAATAAAGATCCCACTATCTTTGAAGAATGTTTGGTTTATTTCACAGGTCAGGCATTTTCCCTAACACTCTAAGCAGACTATTTCAGTCAAATAGAGAAGAAATGTTGAGACAACCTCTCCTAAAATTATTTTTAAAAGTCTTACTTATCTTTTCCTTCTCCCACATTATGTATTTGTTTCACATGGGGTTATTACTTCACAGATTATGGGGTTTTGTTTGTTTCATTTTTGTTTTACTCAACAGTTTGAAAGGAATAGGTAAAACAAAAGATAAAAAAAATAAGACATACTTATCCAACCATCAAAAAAAACCTAAACCAAAGCAAAACACAACAACCCGATCAAACCAACAGTAAGGAAGTACTTAATGTATTTAGCTCCTTTATTAGAAACATATCACTATAGTCTTTCACCATATAAGGAACTAGACTTTCATATGGAATCTAAAAAAAATAACTAGATTTCTTGCTTTAATTGTTTTTAGTAAAGCAAATGCCAGAATGCTCTTTTCAGGAATAAATCCATCCACTTATTGATGAGCATTCTCATCAACATTGCAGATTAAAAACATCTGTTCACTGGAGCCAATGTAGCTGAATTTATGTTAGCTTGTGTAAACAATCTATGTACTATTTCCCCCATCACAGTAAAAATAAATCAATCACTGATCAAGGAAGATAAAAGCCAAGGGGGGGTGAATTTGATACATATTTTAGATTTTGCGTTTATAAAATGCCAAAATACTTGCCTGAAACTTAAAATAGTATTTATCTCTTCATTATTTTATAATTATTTATGACTCTTTATTACTTGTAGAATTTGCGCATGAGGAAAGATCACACAAAATCTTAATGTTTCACTCTTTTGAATTAAGTGCTGCCTATAGCTGTTTCTCTCCTGTGAGAAGTTCCTGGAACTGTTTGTGTGAAAAGAGGATTGTCCTGTGAATGAAAGCTGCCACATATCAGTCTACAAATTCCTGCTGCTTGACAGAAATTCATTCTCAAGTTCTACATTTGTGTCGAGAAAACTTTCTGGTTCTTTTGATGGGTTTATTATTTAAAAAAAAAAAAAAAAACACATTTATTTACAATGGTGAATTCTCTTCCAGCATTTTTATGAAGAAAATGGATTTTAAAATAGTTTGATACAATATTGCAGCTTTGTACACATACAGTTATGTTGTGACTTTAATAACATTTCTTTTATATGGTTCTGAGCATGTCACTACTGACATTACAGTTTACCACTACTGCCTTGCATGTATGTGGTTTCAAACCTGCTCTCACTAAAATAGCTGAGAAACATATTTTGACTTTTTGCTCTAATTTGCCTCTCTAATGTGAGCAAGCTGTGGATATTGGGAAAAAAATCCTCTATTTAAAAGTGTTTTCATTTATTTAGACATGAAGATGACTTGTAAAATGTCATAAAAGATTTAGCAATAACTGTCAAACTTTGCTAACATCTGGTGTTTTGGAGAAAAAAAAATGAAAGATGCAGTGAATTTCTGGGTAAGGGTAAACTCTCCTGAATGGAAATCTTGGGACGTCTTGCTCCCCTTGCAATACATACAACATCTTCCAATATTTTCTAAGCACAATGCACTATTGTTACTTTCCCATTAGTTCCTTTGTTGCCTGGTACAGTAACTATCTTGCTGCCTCTGAAGAAAGTCTGCTCATCAGAATTCTGTAGAGGTTGATAACTTCAGCTTTGTTAGGATAGCAGGCTAAAAACATACTTTGTTTATTTTTCCTTGGCGGAATAAATCTAGGAAGAAATCTGAGGTCTTTGTCAATGAAGATTCCATATTCACTAAGAAATCACTGGAAATGTCATTGAGAGGGGTAGTGTGAGGTCTGAGTTAACTCTTTGTTCTGCCCCAGACATTTGAAACATCCATGGACTGGCTATTTAATGCCAGTTTCCTGTATGAAACATGAGCATGAGAACAATTTTATGCATGCCATACTGCCAGTATAGCATGACATAATGTGCTGATGTGATGGGCAACACATCAGTGGAAATACAAAGGGAGAATGTGAGATAAACAGGTTTGTATTAGAGTATAGGGGAAAAATGAGAGCAGTAATTTTATTTTCTGAAGAGGAACTGAGTTAATATTTAGGAAAATCTATTTGCAAACAAGTATGTACAATCCTGTTATGTCCAGGCTGTTGATTTTTCCTCACCTATGAATATTCACGCAGTCAACTCTTATGCACCTGGAAAGGTGCTTTTATCAGAGCAGAGATCAAAAACCACGTGTGGAAGCAGGATTTCTAGGCAAACAAATGAAAGCCACACTCAGACCATCCCCACCTGAACACTGTGTACTGGCTGGTTGCTGGGTCAAGGATGCAAATGTCCTGTGATCAGGAGAGGAGAAAGAGCAAAGTGTGAATACCCATGGCTTTCAAAGCACCTCATGCACATCAGCCAGCTCAGGCAGCTGGTGCAAGGAGAGGTCATGTAACATAAGGACAATGCTGATGGAGTAGTAAAGTCCACACCTTTAGTACGTTTCAGCCTCAAAAGGCAGTATGGGCTTCCTGTGGTTTGGGACAAAACATCAAGAGAGGGATCAGCTCCTGAGCACAGCTGAGAGGGACATTGTGCCCCGAGGTCTTCACTGATCTTTACACTTTTGTGCCTCTCTGCCTGTGGGGTGAGATTGCAGCTAGTCCTGCATTATTGAAAGGCACAAGGTTTTGAATTCATCTCGTGTAATTATGGGATTATAGAGGATGCCTAAATTAGGAATGTAGCCACTTCACACTCCCTCCATGGGCTTCTCTGTGAGATATAGGCATTGTCTGTGGGCAGTCTGTATATGCTGCTTTCTTTGCTCTGTATCGTGTAGCATTTTTTAAGGACACTCTTTTAATCTCACCCTCATGCAGTCCACACTGAGGATGTCAGCTTTCATACTATCTCTTGCTTTCTCCCATACTCCCCAGATCAGCGTGTCTTCTTTAGGCTAACCCAAAAAACCTATTTTCAGTCTTTGAAAACCTTGTCTATCAGTAACTTAGATCCTGAAACAGCCTTGTGTTCTGCATATTTGCTTTAATTTACCTATAGAAACAATCCAAAATCTTGTGCCCTGTATGGTGCTGGTGTTTTGTTTGGTCTATTGCTTTGTCATGCCCCACACTTACTTGCCTGTCAGAGACTCATTCATAAGCTCAGTGAGGCAGAAATTACAGCATTTATGCATGTCACATATTTGTTAAAACAGCTAATGATGTGACCGGTCACACACAAGACAAGCAACCGAATGGTGAAGGGAGGAAAAACACTCTGAGACCAGCATTTGCACAACATCCAGCTCAAATATGGCCAGGATTTTCATTTGTTAGACAATTACTATAAATCCATAAAAATCAGGATCACTTCTTGCATATAAACAGCTAAAAGAGGCATGTCTGATATCTGTTCAGAATGAATAGGTTGACCAGCTGCAATCTCAAGTGTTTAGATTGGAAATCAAAGGTAATGTTGTGACCATGTGTAATGTCTTCAGATTTGTGTTTAGAAGCTGAAATTATGCAAATTTAAATGAGATTTTATGTGCAGGTTATAATGGTGTGGATAATCAATCATGAGCACAACTTTCCAATGGACTGAGTTGTTTCTCCGTCACTTGTTTTCAAATTGGCCATAGACCTCTTTTTTGAGCAGTATATCCAAAAGTTCAAAAGTTATGATTTAGATAATTATGGATCATCCAATCTGATTTATGCAGATGGTCAGAGTAAATTATCCTGATAGGTATTTGCAATCTGAAAATCCAGCTTTGGACTTCTTTCTCCCTTTTTTTTTTCCCCCAAAGGACTGTTATTTCTTGTCAAGTACATGAGCCTCTTAGAAATTAGAACATATGAAGAGGAGGTTCACATTCCCATTACTGAGTGATGCTCCATTATAAAGATGTATCCTATGTGCACTTCATGAATAAAAAGATAAAAAGGTATTTTCAGCAAATTGTCAAATTCTTAAGAAGAAGAGTCTTAAGAGCTTTTTTTTTTTTCTGGAAGCTTCACAAATTCTTGCAGCTTATGACTACAGGTAATTCTCATTGCTTAGCTGAATGAATCTTCTAAAGGTTCAGTATTTCTTTTCCAGTCTTTCTCCAGGTTATCTGTCTTTGAGGACTTAATGTGATAATGCTTTGATTTATATTGAAAATAGAGATTAATGCTACTGCATTAAAAAAAAAAAAAAACAGGGAAAGGAATGAAAAAAGTATATCTAAAATGTACCAAAATGCACATTAACTTCCAATGTACAAAATTATTTTTAATTTCTAGAGTTTGAACCAGAAGATCCTTACACTTGGCAATAACAAATAACAGAAATAATTATTTTTTATTCCAGGACTCAAAATATTTCAAAGAAAACAGAAAAACAACAACACAAGGATGCATTTCAGTGCCTCCAGCCCTAGAATTCGAGGCTTTTTCCTATAAACTGGTTGTTTTGTTTTTATTTTTATTTTTGGTGTTTTTTTTGGTTTTTTTT